TTAAATCTGTATTAGTGAGAAGATAACTTTAGTGGATTAAAATTTTAGGTTCTTTTTTGTATTCTGCTAACCTTAGGATTTAACCTTGTCCAAGGGCAAACATATCTAAAAGTATTTTATGTTATCTATGTTAATTCTATCTTGTTTTTAGAAGAATTAAAGCAACAAAACAGGAAAAATGACTTAACTGTATAATATACTCAATTTTAGGTCAGAAATCTCTACTTTTTCAGAGATCTATAGTTACTTCTATTATTTAATACCAGAAAGCACTGTGGTTTTGGTCAGACCATACTAATCCCGTATTTTTTTCCTTTTATATGCTAATTTCTTTGCTGCTAGGAAAGAGGTTCATTTTCATAGCTTATCAGAGATCACCTTTGTAGCTTAGGTTGTGTATCTAAGTCTTTTTGACTATACAGCCATAAAAACATTATAAAGGATTCTCCAAAAACAGGAAGAAACAAGAAGTACAGAATATGAAAAAAACATTTAAAAATGTTAAATAACAATATGAATTTCTATTGAAACAGACATAAGGAGGAAACAGAATTTAAAATAGTTGTAAAATAGAAGCAAGATATCTAGAATATATTGATAGAGTCAATTTCATGGAAAGAATAAGGGATTATTATTTTCTATAAAAAGAGCAAATGTCTTTTAAAAAATTTTAGGAGAATATTTATCAGGTAATATTTATTATAGCCTCAGTATTGTCAATCAACCACAATTCAATAGTGTTCAACTCAATTGTACTTTTAGACCAAATATCTTGAGATACTGAATTGAAAACGTGAAACATCAGGCCAGGAAAAAAATGGAAATATCCTATTGATTCAAATACATAAATTTTATATCATTTTATAGTTTGAATCTTAAGTCAGTTTAGAAATCTTAAGCATTTTTGTGTGGTTTTCATGGGTATATAAAGACTTTTTTCTTGCCTATAAACTTTGAAAAATATTGTATTTAGAGTCAGTATTGCAGACACATTTTTGAATTAGCATTTTTCTTTCTTTTTTACAGTCCTCCTTGACAATTGGTGGCAAGCAATGGCCCAAAACATTTACAACTACAGTTATAAAATTTCACTTATTCTCTCACAATAAGAAAAATATGTTAAAAGTGGAGAACATATGCTTGTTATTAGGTAGAAAATTACTGTGCTACCCTCTAACTAATTCTCCAGAAATTTAGAAACTTAGTCTTTTCCTTTTTTAAGTTGGCAGTCCAGACTCTGATGTCAACGAAGGATGAATCATAAAAACATTATGCAGGGAATAATTTTTCATTTAAATTATTGACAATTAAGCTGATAATTTTAAGTATAATACATGCTATACTTATATTTTATACTAAGATAATATAAGAAAGAATTAGGAATTCATGAGTTATTTTATAAGCAGGAAAGGTAAACAAAGGAAAAGTTAGAAATTCAATATGGGTCTCATAACAAAAGGATGAGAGAATCACTGACAATAAGTTTTGAGTGTGTCTAGGCAAATGCACCTAGTAAACTGACGCAGATAAAAGTATATGAATTAAAAGCCTTGTAGGCTGGGATGATTTATTTATGTATTTATTTTAAAATCATTTTTTTAAAATTATGGTTGACATACATTTATTATATTAGTTTCAGGTGTACACCTCAGTGATTAGACATTACATAACTTACTAAATGATCATCCTGATAAATCTTTTACCCACCTGACACCATACATAGTTATTAGAATATTATTGACCATATTCCCTGGGCTGTACTTTACATCCCCATGACTATTCTGTAACAACCAATTTGTACTACTCAGTCACAGGCTGGGATGATTTAAAATTTGGTGTAGGCATTGGAATAAAGTAAATACTGACCAATACAAGAAAGTGGACATGGGACAATCATGTTCCACAGTGCCCGGGAGCACAGTTTTTAGTGTGTGTAATGTGAATGTCACTCCCTGCAGGTGAGTCATGTGGCATCTCTGGGGCTAATATTTACATGCATGCTATTTACCTAGCATTGTTGTGATTAACTCACTTGTGTTAAATTATAGCTTATGGATCTAAGACGGTGAATGGGGTTTGAGGTTAAGGAGACAATTGTAAGTCCTGGGACTTGGATGATCACATAATGGAACAAGTCAGGAGATTCTGTGGTCAGCATTCTAGTAAGTAATCGAAGAGTTTTAATGGGGAGATAAATATATGTGTGTGTATATATATGAATGAATATTATTGACTATATTCCCTATGCTGTACTTTACATCCCCATGACTATTCTCTAACAACCAAAATTATTTATCAGAGTTCCAAATTCTAAAATATTTTAGATAGTACAGAAGAAAATCCATCCCACATTTCTGTTCCCTCAACATACTATTTTCACTTGTCTATATTTCCTTCTATTTTGTGTTCATGTTTACATTATTTAAGCACGTTTAATAGGTTGGATTTTGATTCTGATTTTTTTTAATTTAACTTTTATTTAATGGAGAAGGCTGCCCCTCAGTCTCTTATAGTTTGATTTATGCATTGACATTGTCTTAAGCCTCTGACTTACATAGCATTTTTTCCTGTGTCTTATGACTGGTTTCTAATCCTGACTTACTGTGCTTGGCCCATTTTGTGGCTACCAGCCCATGCCTATGCCTAGAGATACTCTTACTTTTGTTTGTAATATGTTCCTGTGAACACTTAAAACAATTGAATGAAGGAACTGAACATAATGTTTTCAAACAATGTCCCAGAGAGTATAAAATATTATAGGATATTTTGAAAGTTATAAAATTATTTTTAATCATATAGGCTTGATATGATCTTGGATGATATAATTCCAGCATTTCATAAGTGTCTCTGTTTGTTCTTTGTAGTCAAACATACAGTTGATTGACTTAAAGTTCAGTGAGCCTTTCTTTGAGGCTAATGATTGTTTTTATCTTTATACTAATTTTATTAAATTTGTGAAACGTACATTTCTTATGAGTTTTAGCACTTTCATTTTTCCATTTTCATGTCATGTTTACAAAATAAGGGGAAATGAAATGTAAAATCCAGTAGTGTATAATCTGCAATACAAAGATTGTGATATTGGCTGGCAGGCAGCATCAGCTCAGAGCTCAAAGTGCTTGTCAGCTGATGTTCAAAAGCCCCAAATTCATAATATGTAAGGTGATTTAGGAAAATCAGATTACATATGAAAGTCTAATGTCCTTGATTTTAGCCATCCTAGTAGGTGTGAAGTGTTTTTTGTTTGTTTTTGTTTTAGGTAACAACATTATTGAGTTGTAATTCATCTTTTTAAAGTGTACAGTTCATCCCTGGCTGGGTAGCTCAGTTGGTTAGAGCGGTGTCCCAATATGCTTGGGTTGCAGGTTTGTTCCCCTGTCAGGGCATATACAAGAATCAACCAATGAATGCATAACTAAGTGGAACAATGAGTTGATGTGTCTTTATCTCTAAAAATCAATTAAAAGTTTATTAAAAAATAAACTGTACAGTTTAGTGGTTTTTAATATTTTCAGAGCTGTGCAATGATCACCACTATCAAATTCCAGAATATTTTCATTACTCCAAAAAAAAGACTCTGTACCTATTAATTAACCTACTTTCTGTTTGCATCGATTTGCCTAAACTAGGTATGTCATGTAAATGGCATCATATGATATGTGGCCTTTTGTGTCTGATTCTTTTCACCTAGCATAATGTTTTCAAGATTTGTAGCATATATCATCAGCAGTTTATTATTTCTGTCACTGAATAATATTCTATTAGATGGACATACCACATACTGCTTATTTGTAGGTTGATAGACATTTGGATTGTTTCCACTTTTTGGCTATTATGAATAATTCTGTAGTAAACATTATTTTCATTTCTCCTATGTATATGCCTAGGAGTGGAATTGCTGGGCATATGGTAATGCTATGTTTAGCCATGTAAGGAACTGCCAAACTGTTTTCCAAAGTGGCTGCACCATTTTACAATCATACCACCTATGTATGAGGGTTACAGTTTTACGCTTCCTGACCATCCCTTGTTATTGTCTTTTTTATTTTAGCCATCTAGTGTGTGTAAAGTGGTACCTGGTTGTGGTTTTGATTTGAATTTTCCTAGTGACTAAAGATGTTGAGCATCTTTTCATGTGGTTGTTGGCTTATTGGATACACACACACACACACACACACACACACACACACGCTTGTTGGATACACACACACACATATATCTATATCTGCTTTGGAGAAACATGTATTCAAATTCTCTCATTTTAAATTGGGTTGTCTATATTAGCGAGTTGTGAGGGTTCTTTGCATATTCAGGATACAAGTCCTATATCAGATATATGATTTACAAACAATTTTCCCATTCTGTTGTTGGTCTTTTGGTTTTCTTAATGGTGTTCTTTGAACCACAAATGGTTTTAACTTTGATAAAGTCCAGTTGACCTACCTTCTATTTTTTCTTTGGTTGCTTGTGTTTTTGATATTACATTTAAGCCCTTGCTTGATCCAAGGTCTCCAAGATTTATACCTATACTTTACTTCTAAGAGTTTTATAGTTTTAGCTCTTACTTTTAGGTTTTTCTGAAATCCACTTTGATTTGATTTTTGTATATGGTCTAAGATAGGTGTCCAAATTCCATCTTTTGCATGTAGATATCCAGTTGTCCCAGCACTATTTGTTGAAAAGACTATTCTTTTCCCATTTGATGGTCTTGTCCTTCTTGTCAAAAATCAATTGACCATAAATATAAGGCTTTGTTTCTGGACTCTGAATTCTGTTCCATTTGTATGTTTTTCTGTGCCAGTACCACACTATCTTGATTACCATAGAGTTGTAGTAAATTTTGAAATTGGCAAGTGTGAGTAATCCATCCAACTTTGTTCTTTTTCAAGATAATTTTGGCAATTCTGAATCCCTTATATTTCCATATGAATTATAGAAGCAGCTTGTCAATTTCTGCAAAATTTTTCTTCATTTTTTAATTTTACTTTAAACTTTTTTTCAGATGTTTCTTTCTAATGAATTTCCTAAGTTCTGAAATGGTCAACAGACCATAGAAAGACATTTCTTTAGGCTCCCACTTGAAAACCAATAGCTTCAACAAACTGCTGGCCTTGATTCAGGGCCAATTAGTCTTTATTTTCAAAACATAAAGTGTTATTGAATTTTTATATAGTGTAAAATTGGCCCCAGACACCAAAGATACATCTTTGGAAAGTAATAAAACATGCAAAACATAGGTCTTAAAGCAATGGTCATAGTCTATAAGAACATATCAAATTATATTATATTACATTATACCACAGCATCAGCTAGGACAAATACTTTAAGAGTAAGACTTTACATATTCACTTAACATTACTAGTTTGGAGAACATTATGATCCTTAAATCTGGGGAAAAACAAGTATTTCTCTGTCAAGCTCCAGTGTTACACAGTGGAGATGGCATTCATGAACTGACTAAACTGTAGGGTCAGACTGGCTGCTTGAATAGAGATTTTAGCACTTACTGGCTACACGGCCTTGAATAAGTAACTTAACCTCATCTATAAAATACAGATAAAGTGCTTCCCAGACAAAGTAAAGCTAAAGGAGTTCATCTTCACTAAGCCATTATCACATGCAATGTTAAAGGGACTTACTTGAGGAAAAGATCAAAACTATGAACATTAAAAAGGCAACAAATTCACAACTATTAACAACTGAATCTTAAAAAAAAGAACAAACCAACCCCAAAACTAAGCGAACAATCATAACAGGAACAGAATCATGGGTATGGAGATCATTTGGAGGGTTATCAGCTGGGATGCGGGGAAAGGATTGAGAAGCATAATTGGTAGGTACAAAATAGACAGGGGGAGGTTAACAATAGTATAGGAAATGGAGAAGCCAAAGAACTTCTATGCACGACCAGTGGACATGAACTAAGGGGAGGGGAGTGCTGGAGGGAACGGGAGTATCTGGTGGAGGGGGGCAAGGGGGAAAATATTGGGACAACTATAATAACATCAATAAAATATACTAAAAAATACAGATAACTGTAGCTATCATATTGTGAGGATTAAGTAAGAAAACGTGCAAAAACACTTAGAAAAATGCCTGGCACGTGGTTTAGTACTCAGTAAGTGTTACCCTTAAAGCTGTTGTCAAGATTTAATTCATCGCTGTCTTAAGATTTGAAAAAGGCTTTAAGGGTGTGTTTGCTTTTTCTTTTCTTTGTTTTGAACTGGCACTGGAGAATAAGAATTAGAGAGGAAAAAACCAAAAGCCCTAGACTCTCAATTCCATTATAATATTGAATGTCTGTAAGGCTCTAGAAAATACTTTGTGATAAAACTGACACTTTTATCAGGGAACATAGAAATTTACTTAAGGGTAGAGAAAATACACAAACTATCATGCTTGGGAGGGGAAGAGATGACTTACAATAGCAGTCCTACAAAATAAAATTACGATTTCAAAAGAGAATTCCCATCTGGTTATGAGAATGAGGGCAGTTTTCATGGAGGGGTGGCATTTGAGATGCATCCTACAAGTGTATGATTCCTGTGTACGTGGGAAGAGATGAGTGTTTGGGCCAGTAAGGAAACAGCACAGAGACCCAGAGACGGGATCCGGGCCGTGTTCTCTAAACGAAGGCAGGGTTGGGGGTGGAGGGTTTCCCCTCAGGGTGTATTTGAAGTGCGTGTGGTTGCTTTTGGTTGCTCTACTGACTAGGGAGCCTGGTTGGCATTTAATAAGCGGATGATGATAAACATCCTGCAATAATGTGGATAGAAGAATGAGTGATAAGGATGAAATGTATGTCATTTATTACTGAGAGCCCGAGTGTCAGGCTGAAATTTATACTTATATAGGTAGATGTCTGGGAGAGAGACATGGGGAAATCCTGCTATGAAGGAAAAAACAAAGGGTATCGAAGTCAGAAGAACTGGCTTTGATGTTCTAACATTTTAAAATATGAAGATTTTAAATTGGCAGATGATTTCTTAAGCCCCACCCTTAGAGTCTGATTTACCTAGATATACTTCTAAAAAGTCTGTGGATGAACTTAGTGAATTTAGATGGGACTGAGGAATAGTCATTGAATGTAGAGGTTTCTTAACCTGATGAACCCATGAATAGAATTCAAAGGTCCATGAACTTGAGTGCAAAAAAAAAAAAAAAAAAAAAAATCACATCTTTATTTTCACTAACATCTAACTGAAAGATAGTATTTCCTTCCATGAAGAATATGAGCAACAAACTATAGTACTACCAGCAGTACCTAGGATTTTGTCATTATGAGAAATCATAAATACACTTTTTATTTAAGAATTTTTTATTGTATTTTTCCCACTACCATCTAACCCCCTTACATCCACCTCCCCACCCTGTAATCACCATACTGTTGTCCAAGTCCACGAAACCTTCTTCCCTTTATGCTCCATCCTGCCACCCGCTAACCTCTGCCCTCCTCCGCCCCGCCCCGAGCTATCTGCCCCATTCTCAGTGAGTCTGTCTCTGTTTGGCTTGTTAGTTCAGTTTGTACATTAGATTCCACATATGAGTGAAGTCCTATTTGCCTTTCTCTGACTGGCTTATCTCACTCAGCATCATGTTCTCCAGGTCCAGCCACGCTGTCCCAAAGTAAAACTTTCTTCTTTTTCTATGGCCAAGCAGTATTCCACTGTGTCAATGGCCCATGGTTGCTTTATCCCCTCATCTCCTGATGGACACCTGGGCTGCCTCCATATCTTGATGGTTATATCATAGTTAATACAGCTATCTTATTTATACTGCTTTAAAATTACTGGCGGAACTTGCTGCCAGCAGTTACTAATATACTCATAAAGAAGCAACTATATTACTATATATGACAAATTAAAAAAATTAAATAACGGCTCCCTTTATAAGCATATACATTTTACTTACATTTAAACAGGTTTCATTGAGAATGGGTCCCCGGACTTTACCAGACCCCCCAAAGACTTAAAGTGGCGCGGTCGGAGAAACAGGATGAGGGAAGGCTGTGGGGGTGACAGGCAAGGCGGACGCTTAGGCGGAAATGAGGAGTTGCAGCACTTTGGGTGTGGGAAGCAGGTGGTATGAGCATGGGCAGGAGAGCGTGTAAAATGGCAGAGCCAGCACGTGCACGTGGGCATGCAGGCTGCCGCTCTGAATCAGAGGTGTTTCAATGCAAGGAGTTTCTTTGTGGGTGGAGTTTAGGGCGGAATTAGTATTGCCAGGAAAAGGAAAAGTTTGAGTCCATGTGAAGAGACAGATTAATGATTGCAGTATGAGACCAACGATGACAACTGCTCTTTACTGCACACTTACTAAGTGCTTAATAAATACTGATTATTGAGTTTAATCTTCACCCAAATCTAGGGAAAATAGGTATTTTTATTGTTTCCATTTTACAGATGAAGAAACGGAGGGTCCGCTACGGTAAGGTAACTTGTGGAGTTAGCACAGTGGATAATTTGCAGGCCTGGAATCTAAGCCTCTCCGGGTTCCAAAGCCCGTTCTGGCTTTCCCTGCGTCCTCCCGACGGCGCCAGCCAAGACAGCGCCGATCGCGGCGGAGGGCTGAGCTGCGTGGGGTGACAGCCGTGGAAGCGCGGAAGGCAGGTCCTGGATTTAGTGTGGCCAGAATTTTGGAAAACCAGGCTTAAGACGCAGGCAGTTTGGTTGGTAGACTGGAGCGGTGAGGGCGCATATGTACCTCTCTGTGACAGCGTTGAGGAGGTTCCCATAGTTCAGAAACTTCTCGGTAGATGGGATGTTTAAGACACTGCTTTTCTCTCTTGTCTTTGCATAGTACATCCTGCCCACACTGAGGCGAAGAGTCTGATCTTAGTGGCCTTCTGAGGTGACACTTCGAGCCTTCTCTTCTTTGCCTGGCCTGCAGACCCCTATTTTCCAGAGACCAGCAAATGAGAAAGACCTTTTGTTGCTATACAATACGGGGGGAAACTCCCAGCGCTATAAAACAGACTGAGGACTTTGAAAAATATAGCAAGTTCATGTCTGCTAATATGTGAAGTTATTTGGCCTCCCTGGTGTAAGTAGTGATTTGTTGTTTTCATGCTAATACAAATTCTTGTATTAATAGGAGCATGGCCCTGGGTTTCTTCATCCGCCTGGGAAAAAATTACTTGTTTGATGGTAAACAAAGAACAGAAGAATTGATTCACTGTCCTCGTTTTAAAAAAAGATGGTATGAAGCAATAGTGGAATAATTTTAATTGTAACCTTCTAACACTTGCAATCAGTAAGATCATTTGTGTTCTGTTTTTAGGAAATGGAGTATTAAAGAGTACATAGTGCATTAGAAATGCAAAACATGACCGCATGTTCTCAGGATTTTGTCAGTGCTACATGAAAGAGCACTTGTCCTGGGATGCTCAGCTCTGAGGGTATTCTCTGTTCAGTGTGTATTTACAGAGATGTATGAATATTTGATTAATGAGTCATGGTCTCTGGAGAAATTTAATAACTGTATTGCTGTACAAAGCCAGGCCCTTCACTGTTACCACAGCTGCCGACAGTGTCATTGGCCCTGCAGCCCCTCCTGAGTCTAATAGATTCTAGGGAGTGAATTCCGTGCTCAAAAAGGGATCTGGGAGAGACATTATTCAGTGATCTGTTTGGAACTTGACTCAATTTATAGGCTCTGATTTGTCAAGATTTTTCCAATGAAAACAAGCAGTGATAGAAAAACTTTTAAAAAGTGACATTTTTAAAATGTTACTTTTCCCAGAAATTAGTTGAAAAATTATTGGTAAATTGATTATCCTTTTCAAGACTTTCTGTTAGGGACTCAGTAATAATTTTTATCTTGCTCGTCATATATGAAATATCCACAAGAAGAAATATGAGATATATTTGCGATTTAGATTCACATCTATTTAAATGCTGTAATCTAAGTTCATTAATAAGTATAATTTAATCTTCAAGAATTATTGAAGGCTAATTTATCCCTTCTTTATCTTTTTTTTTGTTTTTAATATCTATGGAGAAATCAATTCTAACTTTTAAAGCTAGGTAGGTATTTTAGTAATGTTACCTTGTTTAACTGCTTGAGTAACGGAGGAATGTCAAAAAAAGATAAATTTAGTGCAGCAGCTTTTGCTGGAAGCTGTAAC